TTTTTTTTTTTTTTGGTTTTGTTGCGTACAAGTAGATATACGTTAGGCAGTTCGCGTTCGTAAATGAATTCATTGGATATGTTTTTGTTTTTTAGATTCTTTATGCGGGTTTCTCTTGAAATATTGTGGTAAGAGAGTTCTGACCTGTATTGGATTTTGTGCTGCTGTCATAATGAAAGTATGTCGTTGATACGTTACTTTAAGCTTTCCGCTTTCAATGAGTCCGAACTGTTTTGTATGACTGGCTTGAACGTAATTTAAAGACTGTAGTTAAATAGAACTACATTTGTATTTCTTGGCATACATAGACTTTTGTGCATAGTACATGCAATAAGTTTATTCGCCTGCTTCATGTATCGTTTCTTTTCAAACACCCAGGATTAGTGTTTTATTTTACTTCCACCTTTAAAATCCATCAACGCACACAGCTCGCTATAGCATAAAGATTGCAAATATTTGAATAGCAAATGTTACGCTATTAGAGGGTAGAAGATTGTATTCTCTCGAAAAGTAGCCAAGGAGTTGTGGTTAAAAGACAACCACGAACCCTGTTTAATCGCGGATTTTTAAAAATAATTACTCTCTGTTGGAACTATACTGCATCGTATGCATTCGTGCAAGCGTTGTTCACTGTTAGTTAATAGTTTTGCGTTGTGTGAGGTATGTTAATTCCATATCGAAAGAGTAATTGATCTGATGGACCATCTGTCGAAATTACGTTGGCTGTGATCAGAAAAAAAAAGTTTGACAAATAGTGGAAAACATCTCTTAGTTCAGTGCATCTAGGGTTTGTTTCGAATGTTTTGCAGTACATCGTCAATTTTTCCTCTAATATTACGTTCAACTGCACCGTTAGGCCGTTAGACGCCGTTAACTAATGCCTAGCTGATTGCTCCCTTACCTTTCAGAAGTGCCCGATAATTTACATTTAACCTATAATCGACATTGAGCATGCTCAGTTTAGCACATTCAACCCAAGCCATTCAAAACTTAAAGACTACGTTGTTCATATCTCGGCGAGATTATATACACTTTTGACTGTATTTCCATGTGGGCGAAATCACAATCTAATGTGATGCAGTGTTTTAGTTTCTCCTGGAAAATCTCGAAAAATTACTGAAGAGCGCTATTAGCATCTATGGAACTATGCGAATTGTTTTGCTTATATTAATTTTAGTCTAGTTCATGTTCTTCGAGTTCATGTTTTTCTAAGTGCGACCGAAATTATAAAAACGATCCGGAATCGAAAGAAACCGTGTCATAGTTATTCAAAAATAGTGTTAAGTATTCAGAATTTCTTCCGGAAAGTTCTTCCGTAACTCATTGATATCGTTTATTCACCAATCAATAGTTTGAAGAAAAGCAATTTATTTAAAACTTGCACCTGGTCTTATGTACGAAATCCACCTGGCTTTCTGTTTGTCGTGTTCTTCCTGTTCATAGCCGTAGCTGACAACTGGTTGATGGCTTAAACAAAATTTCCAATAAAAAGCTTAGGCGATTTAAGAGCTGGAAACAAATCTATCCAAACTATTCTTAGTAACACAGAAGACGCTGCTAGAAAACCGCTGTTTCAAACGTAGTCTATTGTAAAGAAGCTTGCATTAACGAATATCATTTTTTATTATGTAATTAATTTGGCCAGAGAAATAAATTGTAAGACTTAGACGATAAGGCGCTAGCAACTAAGGCTATCGGGTTTATTAAAAACTCTACCGACCACTCAGACCGATTCGCTATGTAAAGTTGCTTGTTAAACATTTATATTTAAGTTATTGAGCGATGTTCTAATTGCAGAGCAAAGAGTCGTTTCGTTGATTGCATACCAATTCCAGCGATTAAAAAGACCTTTCTTTTGCAGTCCAGTCCAGAAGGAATATCCGCCATTTGCCTTGTATAGTTCGAAAATCTGGTAGATCTGGTGTGTGTATGTTTGCTATTGACTGCATCAAACGAAATGGCACGCATCTTGGTACTTGTATAGATCGTTTTTATTTCGGTTCCTGCTGTGATATAAATGTAAGTATATCTGTAATGCGAAAATGCCGATACATTTAGTAATTAAAGAACTTCTAATTTTTAGATTGACACGCCCTTATATACCGCGGAGGTAGTTGACAACAGCATAGATCAAAATACTATATCACATCACTTCAGTTTTGAAACCACTACGATTCCCACTAGTGCTTTAATACAATCCACTACATCACGTACGCAACCGCATATAACAAGTAATAATTATAATAACAGCATATTGACTGGTATTGCGAAAAAAAATCGTACTGAAGTCACCGAAATACCGCCACATTCATCACATCTAATAGGTATCATTAAGCCCGTTAAGCTATCATCAAACTCAACAACTGCAGCAACAAGGCGGCCTATTTCGCAGACTACTCATAAAAATTCTCATTTTGTTTTGCGTACGACTTCTAGGCAACCACCTACTAAGAAACCTACGAAGACAACCGCCTCAAAGGTAACTGCAACTTCACTTATAAGAAAAAATGTCACTTCAAACGCCAACAACGGTTCATATCCGACCACAGTAAGGGCCACCTTACCGCCTAAAGTAACAACAGCCACAAAGTTAACACAAAGCGAATCTAGTTTAGCAACAACCACGCAACCTTCCAAATTATTCACTTTTCAGACTGTAGAAACAACAATCGTGCCGGTAACTGAGTCGGTAAATCTTACCGACTGGTCGGCCGCGGTTATGGACAGAGTTGAGTCCACAGAAAAATCAAATATTATAAGCACGAGTCCTAAGCTCACCATCAAAACTAGTACTCAAAGAATACCAACTAAGCCCAAACCACTAACAACAAGAACAACAAGCAGTCCTAAAACGCCTCTACAAACGGAGAGGCCAACTAACAAGCCTACGCGTAAACCGCCGCCTGTACATACCCATGAATCTCAAACGCATTTGGTGGCAACCACTGAACTGAGTAACCACATTAATGATTCTGTTTTTACTCCCGAAACTTCGAAACCGAAACCTAAGCCCACACCCGATATTATAAGCATCTCAAAGCCAGTTTTAACATCCGTACCAATACCAAATACTACTCAATCATCATTGAATGTATCCATTCCGAAGCTTACTACCGAGTCGCCAGCGATAAATTCTACTACAAAAGCGACTCCGAACATAAATACTATTAGCACAAGTCATCCCGTTCAAGAGATTGTAGGTTTTACTACAGAACAACCCTCTTTCATGAATACCACTGCTGGGCCAAATCTAGTAACTTGGACTAATGATAAGGAAGAACCTCATAATCAAAGTCAAAATGCAACACAAGGGGACACTGGTTGGCAACAAAAACTATCCGGCTGGATCCCGTTATCTACTATAGCAACAAACATTAACGCCACTAATAGCACTGACAGCAATCCAAACAGTAAGTAATTCGAAAAATTTGTTTTAATAAAGCGAAAAGATTAATGTTTAACCTTCCACCCTACAACCCTTCATTGATCCCATTACCGGTTTAGATAGTGTACAGGATGTCGTGGTAACGTCGAGCGTAAGTGCCGTGATCAATCACATTAAACCTGTTGTTGCAACATCAGAAAGTTCACTTACTCTACAAAGCACTTCGTCGACTACAACAACTGAATCTATATTAGCAACTTCTGCTTCTGTAAGTAGCACTTCCACCGTAGCAGTTAATACAACCTCGACCACACTTGATGTATTAATTTTCGATCAAGTGACAACAGAATACGAACAAAATAATTCCACGTATCCAACTACATCGTCCCCGATCAGTTCGTTAGAAGAGCTCGATTATCGACGGAGTAAGTAAAATTCAAATGAATCGGAAAGTTAATTAGAACACACTAAATGTTTCGTTGAATGCAATAGTTTGTGGTCGACGTATGTTTCCAGAACCAAGAATTGTCGGTGGTTCGAATGCTGCCTTCGGTCGCTGGCCATGGCAAATATCATTAAGACAATGGCGCACTTCAACATATCTTCATAAGTGTGGTGCTGCTCTACTAAACGAGAACTGGGCCATTACGGCTGCACATTGCGTGGATAAGTAAAGTCTCTCATATAGGAAGATCACCGTTTCATATAAAAATGTGTACTTTATTCACAGTGTACCACCATCCGACCTCCTTTTGCGCCTAGGCGAATACGATCTAGCCGAAGAGGAAGAACCGTATGGTTATCAGGAAAGACGGGTGCAAATTGTTGCATCCCATCCACAATTTGATTCCCGGACATTTGAATATGATTTGGCTTTATTAAGGTAAATACCTGTCTTCACTATACCTGCATGTGTACGACTATTCTTTATAGCCCTAACTTTTCACAATCACAGATTTTACGAGCCAGTAATATTTCAGCCGAATATTATACCCGTCTGCGTGCCAGATAGCGATGAAAATTTTATAGGTCAAACAGCTTTCGTAACAGGTTGGGGACGTTTGTACGAAGACGGTCCACTGCCTAGTGTATTGCAAGAAGTAGCTGTACCCGTTATTAATAACACAATATGTGAATCAATGTACAGAGCTGCCGGCCATATCGAACATATTCCGCATATATTTATATGTGCCGGATGGAAGAAAGGCGGTTATGATTCTTGCGAAGGTATTAAGCTTATTTCTTTCTTTCTGCACGCAAATGATATTGATTTCCACTTAAGGCGATTCGGGTGGACCTATGGTATTGCAACGTGAATCTGACAAACGTTTTCAACTTGGCGGTGTCATTTCATGGGGCATAGGTTGTGCAGAAGCAAATCAACCGGGTGTCTACACACGTATCTCTGAATTTAGAGACTGGATTAATCAAATTTTACAATTTTAGTATAATTTTTTTAAAAGTATTTTTTTTTTTTTTTACGTGTTAATTTCCTTAAATAATTTTTTAACATTAGTATAAGAACACGCTTACGTCGCAGTTTGTCGAAAAGAATATCTAGCTATATTAAGAAGCAAAATCGAGGAGGAATCGAGTATTAAGTGCAATAATGCATTTGATGTATTTGTTATCTTTTCTTGCTATCGCTACTACTACCACTACTACTATTACATTTACTATTGCATTTATTATTACTATTACTATAACAAATATTATTTAATTACAAAATTATTAATTTATCCATTAGATTATAACATACGTGATATCTTTATAAATAGGTTAACTTTGAACAGCCCTCTCCCTCTTTCGGACCAAATCATCCCGTACATACATACACATACACATAGCATCTCCTTAAATGTGTAACGTGAAAGGAATGACGTGTAGCGAGTACATCTATGTATTTTTAAGAATACCTCAACTCTGTCCTTTCACTAGATAGTGTAAGCGGTTTTGGGTTTTTTGTTCAAAAATGTCTTTTTTACTGATATTGTGCTGTGAAAGAACAGTGCAATAAGTTCATAAAATTTTGTTTCAATAGGAGCACAAGCACTGCCCTATCAGTGCAGTGGTATTTGTGGAAACAAAGACCTTTGGTTGACGTGACTCAGGAAGATTTCGCCGCAACAAAGGCCAAAAAGGTAGTGGCAGGTTTTTGAGGCCAATTGAATTGGGCAACACCTTGCGTAATTCTTCCAATGCGCCAATATGGGATGCAAAACAGATAAACAAAACGACAAATAAGGAAACTTACAACAATATCTATGTACCTTGTAGCGCATTGAACCAATTTAGCTACGTCACTTTTATTAAACCTACCTTACGAAACCTACTTCTGCCAACATCAGAGTGTCTAATATTTCTATAAAACTTCCCGAATAATGTTCAATTAACCGAAAGCGTCCGATCACCATATTCAGGTTAGAAAGTTTTAAAAGGTTTGAATTATGAACTTCTTGGCTAAACATCAAAACATCAAAAAGAAAGAAATATAATCAAAGAGCAAGAAATGTAATCAAATAAAGCAGCGCAATAGTTTCAATATCGGCATCCAGGGTGCAATACTTTTTTGACAACTTTATTTTATTTTATAGGTTAATTATCCAAAAGTTGACTCAAGCAAAATATTGATTTGAAAGTAAATTATATTCAGTTGTGGCCGAGTCTGTGATACTCATCACGTTTATAGTAAAAGATTTCAAAAATGAAATTTCAATACTCCAAAATATTGGGTGGGCGCGACTGATATTTTTCAGTTTCGAAGATACCCAGAAATTGTTATTGTTGTATATGCTTCAGATTATGACTAACAAGCCAAAAGCGAACTTTTTGTACTTGTAAAAACAGAAATATTAACTTACGTTGTTCTATGAATGTGTCCTTTGGCCGATTTGACTTATTTTCAATGCCAGTCTCTGTACGAGAACTTGTAATACGTTTGTCAAATTTGAAGTCAATATCTTAATTTTTGCGACGCGGAGAATGCTTAGCGCACAAACATGTGGATTTAAAATTTCAAACTAGTCTGGGTACTCTGGGTATTGCATATCTGTTATCAAAATGAGTGTAAATCCCTCCTCTGCTGACGGATTTCCTAATACATGACATTGCCACAGATATCCTTAAAGCTAAACATTTTACCCTCTTACGTGTGAATGTGTGTCTTACTACCTACTCCCTTGCAATACTTACAATATTTAAAAAAAGTATGTAAATTCCAGTAATTTATTTTCATTGCGGACGATTTATTTTCATTGACGAGTCGACGATTTTTTCTGTTTAGTTTTCTAATACGCGTACGTGCTTGCATAATTACAAATGTGTTGTGGCATGTTTTAAATTTAAATTTGTAAATATTTAAATATTGATTTATTCGATTACTTAAAATATTAATGCTAAGTTAGAAAATGTTTTAATCTCTTAATTAATTATTTAGCTGCATATATATACAATAATATATCTATTATTTATTAAAATTCATCGGCCACAGATGTGCAACATGAAACTTATCTATTTTTATGTAAAAAATATCAAAATTCAGCGAAGACTTAGATCGAATATTGGAAACGGATTCACGCGCCGTCTACTTAAATTTGTGATAGGCAGAAAAAAGGTTAAATTGATTTTTTTTTTTACTTAAGATGTTGCGATACCCTTTTCTAGCGAATTCAATACAGTATTAAGTTGAATTCATTGAATTTCGTTTATTTCAATCATCCAATCCCTGCTACAATTTTTAAATTTAATCTAAATTAAGCACATAATAAAAGGGTTACATTATTTTTTGAATGTATATTTAGAACAAGAGGAATATGTATTATTATAAAAGGGAAACGATCAAAAGTGAGAAAGAATCAAAGACATATTTTTGATCCACTCTGAAGCTTAAAGACGACAAGCAACACTAAGCCTGGTAATCCTTAATTCAACATCGTATTAGTTAACTACGGTACACGACTTAATTACTTTCATATGTTACGAAGAACATAAGGAATCTTTTTTACACTTTGTATAGAGTACCAATATCGAGATAAGATTATAAACGTCATGCAATTGGAAAATGAATTTTAAAATGAAGTTGCAGGCTTTTCGTGAGATAAATCAAACCGAGCGACTCTTACAAAATAGCAGACGTTGATTACCGGGAAAAAATCCCGTAACGCTACTTGCTTGTGGTCAAAGTGATGGTGAGCTCCAATCTTCGTTGCAATGGGTAAAAAAACTTGGATGGCATCGGATTAAATAGTTGTTATAATTATTCTTCATATATCGTCTTCTCTTCTCGTTGGCTTCTCTTGCCAAATAGATTGATTTCACAAAA